GTATATAATGAAGTCCGCATACATGTGAGGGGATGAGGTTGACAAAGTTTAAGTTGCAAAATATTAATTCCATCCATCCATTTATAATTTCTCGTTAATATCTTTAATTTCTTGTTTAAATATTCTAGAGATGGGCTGTTGATGTAAATGAGTATGCTTGCCAAAGTCTCAAGCTTAACCACCCAGAGACAGAGGTATGTGTTTGTAGCTTACTTTTTCCCTCCTTTGATGTGGTGCTTTGCATGCTTAACTTGTCTAATTCACATACCATAACAGGTTAGAAATGAATCCGCCGAAGATTTTCTCTCATTGCTGAAGGAGTGGAGAAAACTTTGCTTTTATTTTAACTTGGTTGAGACCAAGGACTCAGAGAATGATCAGTTTGACTTTTTTGAAACGGAAGATGAAGAGGAGGAAGAAGAAGATGGTGATAGTGGAAATGATGAGAATGATAGTGATGATCCTGAATTTGAAGTTGATTACATACTAGAAGTATGTTATGGTGACCCCAACAAGATAAACAAGAGAGGATTGTACTTTAAGGTATGGAAATAATTTGTAGTCTTATGTTATTTTATTTTTAGCCATATCAGCAGTTGTTTATAAATGAGTGAAGCTTTTCAGTTATGGTTTAATCCTCAAGTTCATAGTCTATGCTTGGCCTTTCTCTCTCTCTCTCTCTCTCTCTCTCTCTCTCTCTCTCTCATAACGTTGACACTCAAATGGCATGGGTTTCATTGTATGATATGGAAAATGGAAAGATAATCTAAAAGTACTAGCTGTTCACTGATAAAAAAGATGCTCGAAAATTTCCATAAGAAGTATGTTAGAAAGTCTTCATTAATGGATATATCTTAATTGGGAATACAAAACTGTGTTTCATAAGTTGCTACTGTGTGTACCCTTTAACAATGCAATCTCTGCTCCCATGTGCCTTTCAGATTTATCAGAAAATTGCAGATAACCAAGCAATTAGTTTTTGACTAGATTTTATTATTTGCTTTCTGATGTATTACACAGATCCGTTGGAAGGGGTATGGGGATGATGAAGACACCTGGGAGCCAATTGATGGACTGGGGTATGCAACTATCTTTTATTATGCTTGTAGTATTAATATCTGCCACCTGTTTGTGAGCATGTATGTGATACCTTCTGGCATGTTTAGTTGTGTCCTAAAGCATTGCAATGCATATCTTTCTGTCAAGCAGGCATTGTAGGAAGGCTATAGGAGACTTTGTTTCTCAACGTTATGCATCAAAAGCATTTCCTTTACCGGTAAGTTTTTAATTTTCCCCTCTAACCTTAAATTTAGAATTTGCAGAATTTAAATATAAATTATTGTCATTGACGCTTCATTTAATATTGTTCTGCGCATTCTTTATGTAGGGTGATGTTGATGTGGTGTGTGGAGGGCCCCCTTGCCAAGGAATTAGTGGTTTCAACAGATTTAGGAACACACAACAGCCGTTAGAAGATGAGAAAAATAAACAATTGATTGTTTTCATGGATTTCGTACAGTACCTTAACCCAAAATTCGTTTTGATGGAAAATGTGGTTGATATTGTAAAATTTTCTGAGGGACTCCTTGGACGTTATGCCTTGGGACGTCTTGTTGGTATGAACTATCAAGCTAGGATGGGAATGATGGCAGCAGGTGCATATGGGCTTCCCCAGTTTCGTATGCGTATGTTTATGTGGGGGGCCCGTCCTACTGAGGTATATTAGTTGAAGTATTAACTTTTACTAATACTGTGCTGGTTTTATCTCATGGCCTAATGAATTGCTTGATTTTTGCAGAGGTTGCCACAGTACCCACTTCCTACACATGATGTTGTTGTAAGGGGTGTTATTCCCACGCAATTTGAGGTATGATAAATGCTTAAGTTCTATGTTGTTTATGGTCGTTTTTTATTAAACAATGTGTAATAAATGCAGGGGAACACTGTTGCTTATGATGAAGGTGGCCCGGTTCAATTAGAAAGAAAGCTTTTGTTGGAGGATGCAATATCTGACCTTCCTGCTGTAAAGTCTTCTAATTATTACTGTTGGGTGTGGTTTTCTTTTTCTTCTACCTTTCTCCATGTATTTTTATCTACCTCGTTTGTATGTAGGTTGAGAATAGTGAAAACCGGGATGAGATGCCATATGCAGGGCCTCCCCAGACAGAGTTTCAGAGGTTTATCAGACTAAGCAAAGAATGTAAGATGCTGCATTGGTTTTGAACTTTTGATCTATCATTGATTTGAAACACACTTGTTGAGTTCAACTTCATGTAGCTACTTCCCTTTTGTTTTCTTGCTTTGGTCGCATGATGTGTAGCTTATTGGAGTTATGACAATATGGACCTCTGTGTTTTGTTTCCCTTCAACGAGTAATTTGATACTTCGCTGGGTTTGCTGGCCTGTTTGAATGATGGGGGACACTTTGATATTGTAACAATGTGAAAATGGAATGAGCTAATTGCTGTTGTCTGATTCTATTGTTACTTTGATATTGAGAAATACAGAAACTGAACTCAGCCGATTACGTCTGCGTGATTATATACTGTACATAGAAGTTAATTAAATCAGGAAAATAAACAACTCAATATGTCTCATTCAGTTAAATATAAGCCTTGCATGTTTCAGCCATTGCTAAAATGGTTAATGGTCACACATATGCTTGTAATGATGTAGCAGTAGATTCTTAAAAATATATTTGGTAAGAGTTATGTGTTTGTTGAGAAAACTATAATTTCTGTTTGATTGTTGCTCTTGATACAGATTTGCTGGGGTCTTCAAAGGATGAATCATTACACAAGATGCTTTACGATCACCGCCCCCTAGAGTTGAATGCAGATGATTATGCACGTGTTTGTGAAATCCCGAAGAGAAAGGTTCCTTTCTTTATAATTTAATGCATGTATTCCTTTGTCATTGATAGAATCCTGCAATCTTGATTTCAGCTTATAAGTTTAATATTTTATGAACTAGGGTGCAAACTTCAGAGATCTACCCGGTGTTCGTGTGCGCGTCGATAACAAGGTTGAGTGGGATCCTGATGTAGAAAGAGTGTATTTGAAGTCCGGGAAACCTTTGGTAAAAACACATCTTTTTCTGCTGGTTGTTTTGTTTTCCTGCAACTTTACTATGTGAATCTCATGACATTGTAATGATAGGTCCCTGATTACGCTATGAGTTTTGTGAAGGGGTCTTCATCAAAGTAAGTTTTAGTGCCCTTTTTTTCGGGTTTGGGTTGCATGGTTCAATCACTCAACATAAATTTTGAAATCCACTATTGTAACTGTCAAATTATGCAGACCTTTTGCCCGTTTATGGTGGGATGAAACCGTACCAACAGTTGTTACTAGAGCTGAGCCCCATAACCAGGTATATGCATACTTACACACAATAAGATAAATGTTTTCAGACAAAAATCAGAAAAGACAATGAGTTAAAACCCATTTTCCTTTACTTCTTTACAGGCAATTCTGCATCCTGTTCAAGATAGGGTATTGTCAATTCGTGAAAATGCTAGACTTCAGGGTTTCCCAGATTACTACAAACTTTGTGGCCCTGTCAAGGAGAGGTACCCGATGTTTTTATACTTCTGTTCTGTCATCTCTTGTTATATCAAAATCTACAGGTGGTTTTATGTCTTCATGGTTGCATCGTTTCAGATACATTCAAGTTGGAAATGCTGTTGCTGTTCCGGTTGCACGTGCATTGGGCTATGCGCTAGGTCTTGCTTTGAAAGGTTCTGCTGGTGTTGACCCCGTGTTCCCATTGCCGGAAAAATTCCCCAATATTCAGTGCCAGATTCATTCTGCATCATCTGAAGATGATGCTTGATTATTGTTGTAATAACTCGATTTGTTAAAGATTTGATGAGGGTGGATTATTATTTGTTCCATAATGGGGAACATTATCATGTTAAATGAATTTCAAGTGTTCATCATTATTATGCTAAAAAAAATTGTAATAGTACCCAAAGCATATATTGATTGTGCACCGTTATAATGAAACTCAAGCTCAATGCATCAATTCCTCTGGTTTTCCTTTTGGTTGCCGTTTGTTAATTCATCAATTTTCCTTTTATTTTTCGTGTTGAAATCAATCTACTGATAAGAAAAAAAACAATATGAACATTGAGTTTTGCTTTACATACATATTTAGTAATGCTACCCAACAAAGATTCAAAATCAACATGTATAAAAATAAAAAAAAACTCTGGGTTTTGCCCAACAAAAATTAAATGGCAATTAACACTGGAATTAAGAAGTGCTTTTTCACCCAGAATTTTTACATTAAAAAGAAGAGAAAAAAACTTAACATCATTCAACATTCATCATTCATTCTCCATGAAAGTACAATTTCATTCTCCATAAGAGTAGAGTATCAGCAACAGCTCAACTCATTTTGGGTTGAGGATTTTTTGATCTGTTCATAGGAAATGGAGGCAACCGAAGCACAGCTTCCTCTGTCTCAATCGGATCAGACCTCAGTATCTACCAACAACAAAAAGCAAAAAAAAGTCCAATTAATAAAAATCAAACCCAGGAAAGAATAACCTTCATGTTTGTATTGTGTGGAGAGAGAGAGAGAGAGAGAACTGACTGGGTCTTGAAGCACAGGTTTGGTGTCGTCTTTGGCTGGTACAAAAGGAGGCTTTGTAACCTTGGCAGCATTAATATTGTTGCTGGGTTTCATTGAGGAGATTTCAGAGTCCGAGTCTTTCATCGTCTCCTTTTTCTTTCTCTCTCTCGCTATCGAATTTCACTTGTGTCTATGCGTTTACTCTCTTCTTTCTTCTTACCTCAACTGCGAAGGTTATGTACCCATTCTCGCCATAGTGAGAAAAGTAGAAGAATTGGTAAAAAAGAATGGGCTTTTTAGATAGAGGGCCCAAATGTAGCTCGCTTTTTATTATTATTTATTTCCTCAAAGCAAAATGAGAATTGCAACGATCATCCTTCGATTTCCGAATATCAAAATTGAGTTTGAAGGGAAGATTACATTGATTAAAAAAATAAATACTTGAAAATAATGCACCATACAGAAAAAATAAAGAAATATAGGTAAGGACATTCTTGACAAACATGACATTCTTGACAAACATTTTCTCCATTTCTTGCTTTCCTTTTTGAGGTCCATTTGCCCTGCTGCTTTCGGAAATTCTCATACTCTTGCAAATCCTGCACCGGAGAAGCAATGGAAAACGGAATCTTAAAGAGTTTCTAGTCTTGGTCTTAGGGCCAAATAAGAATTAAAATAAGAAAGAATTCTTTCTTCAAGGATATACATATAAAACAATGACAAAATTGATCCATATATATATATATATACCTTGTCGCTTAGAGAGGGTGTGATTTTAGCCAGTGCTTGCTCAAAGTGAGTTTCTTTGATTATGCATGGAGATGAACTCCAACTCGCAAGTGACGTTAGTTTCTCTTCAACAGCAGCCATAGCAGCTTCATGCATCTTGCATCAGCAGATTGATGAACAGATATGTCAGAGAATCCCAATCACAAACCTATATCCTTCCAATTCTCCTCAATAATCAATTGCTATATAATAAAAAGCATAACATATGTATACAAGTATAGCCCTACCAGTGCAGCAAGATCAGCTCTAGTAAATTTTTCACAAGCGGTTCTCTGGCCAATCTTACTTAGATTTACACTGGAATCTATAGGCTTGTTCCTTGCAAGAGCTTTTAAGATGAAGCCACGTTCATCTTTATTGGGCAGGGGGACATACATATGCTTACCAAATCTTCCGGGTCGTAAGACGGCAGGGTCCATTAGATCCGGTCTGCCAAACACGTCAATTTGTGGGAAATGTATAATCATAATCATCATTAAAACTGAAGAAGAATGAACAATGAGGTTTACCTATTAGTGGCACCAATTACAATTACACCCTTCCGCTTCTCTCCACTGTCCAACTCTACAAGTAACTGCAATTGTAAGCAGTACTTGTTGAGAAAAAATGGCTCAATTAAAAAGATACAAAAATAAAAGACTAGCGACCGGTCGCATGTTATGAGCGACCGGTCGGTTTCAGGCAGATTGCAAAGTCTGAATTGAGTTTCAACTCTGTGCCAAAGCGACCTATGAGTGAGTGTGTGCATTGTAGATGGATGAACTTCGAACCAGTCAAAGCCTGCCTTTTTCAGATTGGTTTACCTGGTTCAATAGAATCTCAACACTCTCTACTCCTTGTTCCCCTCGGTTTCTTGTCAAAGCATCCACCTGCCAATAATTCACAGAGAGAAACTTGAAAAGAGTTATGATTTTGTAGGGCACTTCGTCCACAAAAATATCTTCCATGTCCAACAGGTTAATGTATTGAGAACGGATGCAGCATAATCATGATATTATTATTATTATTATTTGCAAAACAAATTATGGAAATCTATAAAGGGGATAGCAGGAAGAACAACTGTGGAGAAGATAGAACCACAAACCTCATCAAAGAAAAGTATGCATGGTGTGCACGCCCTTGCACGACTAAACAATGTCCGAACTGCCTTCTCACTTTCTCCCCACTTTTTATTCAGAAGTTCAGGGCCCTAACCAATTACCAAAGGCCATGCGAAATCAAACAGATTTTGTCAAATTATGCAAAAACATACGTTGATTGAAATGTTTATTTTCCACGGGACAAAACAAAATAACACAAACCTTAATGTGAATGAAGTTAGCTCCTGCCTCATTAGCAACAGCCTTTGCAATCAATGTTTTACCGCACCCTGGAGGCCCATAGAGCAGAAAACCTGTCTCTAGCTTCATTCCAAATTCCTGAATTACGAACCATTCCAAGGCACAAATCAGCTTTCTTCCACAAACACACACACACACACACACACAAATAGGGGAGATATAGAGAGAGGCAGAGTAAGAGATTTTGAGAAAAACATAAAAAGTAAAGTGCAGATACTGGTTGGTTACCTCATAGATCTCAGGATACTTAATACGATTGACTATATGAAGATTAAGTTCGTGCCTCAAAGCATCACCACCAACATCTGCCCATGTCACATCAGGAATTGCAGAGAATCCTTGTATTTTTAACGAAGGCGGATCCTCTTGAACTGCTTTCTGCAGAAGAATGCCGCATAATAGCGATCATCATCTTGACAGATTTTATAAACAAGGCTGTTTTGCCAATTTACTCATGAACTTTAGAGTCGCTGTCAATATTTGGCCAATTGAAATAGTTCCAAGTCCCAAATTTTCAAAAAAATTAGTTTAGGGACGAATTGACAGTGACCCTAAAGTTCAGAGAGCAAATTGACAGATTCCTCTATAAACAAAGCAGACTAACTGCACTACATACATACACATACAATGACATTGATAAAGTACGGAAATAACTCAAATATTAGGATACTTACGCAGGAGTGAGTAAAAACATGCATATGCAAGTGAAAATATGCATTTTGAAAGGGAGCAAAAGTAAGAAAATAACTAATTCCAAATAACCTGAAAATCAGCCGTGAGCTTTTCTTTTTCTTGTTCCAAAGAAGCATCTGTGTCATGGTCATTTTCATTTCTAGATAAAGGCTTCATGAAGGATGCCATAGGAGTATGAAAAAGTAGGGGTGAGGACGAATGGATCGATCTTGTCCCTGAACTGCAGACCGCACTGTTGAAAAAACACGGTGTGGTTCTGTTCACTGTTGGCCTTAAACAGGCGGAGAAACCAAACTGACCCCATCCGCGTTTGGCCAGAGAAAGAGAGAGAGAAAGAGGAAGTCTCATAACAGATGCAAGTCAAGAGAGAAAGAGGCAGAATTCAAGCTATACACTCTAAACAAAATCTCAGAATTGGAAACAACTGTCTATCGAATTCCAGCAATACAGTCTGTCTTCCACTTTGGTTTTGATTTTGTTCTGAGAAAGTCCGAGTCTGAGACCTCCCCTCCTCTTCGTCTCTCCCCCTTGCTCTGTTCAAGCTCACACTCTGTTTCCTAACCGCCAATTAAATTTAAGAATTGATTCCTTTATATAGTTTTAGGGTTATAGCCAAAGTCAGTTCTTTTATATATTTTTGATCAGGGGTTTGAGTTGGTTAAGGATTGGTTAAGGACTTGTAATTAATCTTGGATTGTTTTTTTTTCTTTTCTTTTTTCCCAAGTTAGGATGGGGAGAGGGTTTTTACGGTTTAGGGTTTTAGGCCCCACTCGGTGCAATTGTATCTTTCTAATTATTGTTAAAAATAAGAGTTTGAGTAAACATGTTATTTTGAGTTAAAATCATTTCAGACTTTCGTTCCGTTGATTCTGGAATTCCGTTGCGTTCGTGCCAATGGTTTCCCGCCAGATTCAACTGCTCATCCAACGGTCAAGTTCTGCCGCACATCTACTCCAACTCCACTCTCTCGTCCTTAAAACCGGTCTCGATCACAACCCCAACTTCGTCTCCCACTACATATATGCTGCCTGCTCAATCTCGATCGACTTTTCCAAACTGGTCTTTGATCATATACCCATTAAGCCTCCACTCTTTGCTTGGAATTCAATTATCAGAGCCTTTACAAACAGCTCAAATCCACTTGAATCGCTCAACTTCTTCTTTCAGCTTCACAGAATTGGGCTTAAACCCGACAATTTTACGTACCCTTTTGTTTTGAAAGCATGCGGTCGATGTTCCATTGTTGGAGTAGGCGGGCCTGTGCATTCTTTGATTCTCAAGGTGGGTTTTGATTCGGACCGGTATATACGGAATACCCTTTTGAGGATGTATGCCGCTTGCGGCGCAATAGGGCTTGCAAGGCGGGTGTTTGAAGAAATGACTGTTAGAGATGTGGTTTCCTGGAGCTCTATGATTGCAGGATATGTAGCATGGTATGTGCCTTCTTTGTTCAAATTGTTTAACCTTTTCTCTTTTTGTTGCATCACTGTGCAATTTGGAGCATGTAGTTTCTGGCACTCTTATGCACCAGTTATTACTTGAAAGACGTTTTATGGCAGTACATAGAACCAAAACTGGATTTCTGAGATTTGCATTTGTTTTTAAGTTCTATCTGATTTTATGTTAACTAGTTAGTCATTCTTTAGGCTCTACCAAAATAACCTTTCCTAAACACAGGTATATTATTACTCATATTCGTTTTCCTTCTTTTGTTTTCAGCAATTGTCCCTTGGATGCCTTTAAGGTTTTTCAAGACATGAAACTAGCGAATGAAAACCCAAATTCAGTCACTTTGGTAAGCTTGCTTTCTGCCTGTACCCGTCTACTTAATTTTAGAGCAGGAGAGTCCATTCATTGCTACATTGTTGTCAATTGCATTGGGATAGATGTTGCTTTGGGGACAGCTCTCCTTGAGATGTATTCTAAGTGTGGGCACGTTGAGAAAGCCTTCCAAGTTTTCAATTCAATGCGTGAGAAGAATTTGCAGTCTTGGACAATTATGATCTCTGGTCTTGCCGAACATGGTCATGGAAAGGATGCTATCTCATTGTTTACCCGCATGGAACAAACTGGGCTGGTACCAGACAGCATGTCATTTTCTGCCATCTTGTCAGCTTGTAGCCATTTGGGCCTCGTACATAAGGGTCGACAATTTTTCAATCAGATGGTGAGAACGTATGGTATTCAGCCAACATTGGAACATTATGGATGCTTAGTAGATTTGCTTGGAAGAGCTGGTCTGATTGAAGAAGCTTATGAGATTATCAAAAGTATGCCAATGGAGCCTAACTCTGTTATACTGAGGAGCTTCTTGGGTGCCTGTAGGAACCATGGCGTGGCTATTACTTTAGATGATAAACTCAGGAAACTCCTTATATCAGAGCCTAACCTGGGAGCAAACTATGTACTTGCTGCTAGTGTATCTTCTCTTTCTGGTTGTTGGAATGATGCTGCTGATATACGAGTAGCCATGAAACAGAAGGGTTTGGTAAAGGTTCCTGGGTGCAGTTGGGTGGAGGTAGGTGGTGGTGGTTCTACTGCAGCAACTATAAACGAGCCTCTAGTGTAAGTTTCGTTTCCAGGAGGCTAAAGTTAGAATGTTTGCAGAGAGGGGATGGACAGAATGGCCAAGAGGAAAGAAAGGACACTGAGGAAAGCTGGATAAGGATGACTGGTCAAGAGAGGTAATAAAGTGATAGAGCATCCAAATTTGGAATTGGAAGGTGAGAAGTGTAAACTGGTGATTATTAGAATTTGATTCTTTATTCTTGTTTCTTTGAATAGTGTTGGAGACCCAACCAGAAAATCGAGCTTTGTTGGTGCTTATGAGAATTTCCCTGAATGTCAAGAGCAGATTGAGACATCTCAACTAAACTTATTCCTAGATGCCGCTGTAAATTTCAGTTAGGAGTGGATGCATTTCTATGAGATTTTCATCTGGGGAATGAACATGATGCTTGCAGAATGTGTAAGAAATGGTATTTAAAAATATTGGACATTGCATCCTGATCTGCAAGTAGTCATAGGAGATTGCTTCTAATTCATTCAGCCTCCGGACTGCAAACTCTCTGACTTATGAACAAAGAAAAATACTTATAGGTATAAACTGTGGAAGTTCACACTAATCGTAGAGCACAGAGTTGCTGATCTATTCATTTCATGCATGATGCATTCTGATAAATTCTGCATTGTCAAGTTGCTTAATGTGTCCCCTTTATGCCAAGCACAAGTTTGCTTTGTGTGCATCACCAGCAGTGGTAGTCGATACTTGAGTTGCTCAAGTTACCATTATTACTCCTTGGGGTAATTTCAACCATTTGTAGCATTGGATTACCTACCCCTGTGTGAGAATTATGGTTGGAACCGAAAGTGTTTTTGACAGTGACATTTTTTATGCATATTCTAAACATTACCGATTCTAATTTTGGCGAAATCCATTTGAGATTCTGGTGAAATCCCATCATTGCCCTCACTTTCCATGGTGAGTAGCTCAATCCATGATCACATGCTTCCACATGGGAGGGTTAAATTCCAACTTAAACTTGGTAAATTGTTCCCTCTGTTATAAAAGGCAAAATGGAACAAAAGTTTCAACAGTACAGGCCTCAATTATTTTTCCTGCTGAGCAGTATATGCTAAGTCCAGCAGAGTAACTACAAAAAAGGAGACATATATGGGCCTTTTACTTGTATGCCTTTGCATACCCCCACTCACTCCACAAGTTTCACTCTCTGAACACTAAGCTTCTTGCTCATGGCTTCAGCTCCCAGATCAAGTTCTTGGTTTTTCAATCTCTCAGAAAATTGGCTCCCAATGGCTACTATGATACTCATTTGTGGGTTTGTAGGTTACGTGGTTTACGACGCTGTAATGGCCACAGTATCCGAGCTGCTGCAACGTTTGCTGGTAATTTCTCCTTTGCTTATAGTCATTGTAGTTCATTGGCTCTCCACAGGCAGCCAAGTTAGCATTAGCATTCCAGGGTCTGAGCCTGGAGCCATCCACAGAGCTGGAGGCTCACCTTGGGGTGTGGCCTTTGTACTATTTCTGCTTTTCTTTCTCATTTCTTACCAACCTTCCTTGCATGGCCTTCTTTTCTAGCTTAATGGATGTCTCTCTGTCTCTCTGTTCAGAGGACAAGTATGAATATGTAATGTTATGCTGCTTCTCCTTCATGTGATTTGACTTTCATTTGAAGGCTATCCTTTTTCTATGGAATATGAATGAAATCATATATTGTATGTATCTATGCAAATTACCACTCTTGCTGCTTCCCCTAAAAGCAGGATCTGACTTCCATGGATGCCTGAGAGAACAGAAAACGAAAAAAAAACATTTGGAGATGAATTATTTTGATACCTTCCTTGGTTTAATTTTCTGCATTTCTGGTTTAATCCTTGTCATTCTTACCAACAAAACAAACTCAAACCCCTTCCCAAGGAAGCAAGCAATTGACAAAACAGAAAAGAAATTATCCAATTGCTGACTCGTCCAATGGGAGCTAGGGCAACTGTGCAAATGGACCACTCCCTAATTAGAAACCTAGACTGTTAATCCTCCACCATTAATGAAGTTTCATTAAGTCAAGTGTAGGCCTCGTCCCCACTAATGAAGCAGCCTCTAAACAGAGGATATGGACCATGGCTCTTCTGATTCTGTACATTTCTATAATCAGATTTAATATCCAAATTAATACCCAAAATTGTTTTGTTTAATTTCTATTCTTCTCAATATTGAGGTAGTGGTTGGAAATGATGTATCATATTGCTGTTATTGGCTTTTGAATTGAGCTTACACAACCATATGCTCTGATGCTAATGGCACACTGCTGCAATTTATTTATGGGCAAATTGCACTCGGCATCCCTTTGGTTCGGGTCTGATACATTTTGATCCTTATTTTTTAAAATTTTTGATAAAAACCACTCTTGAAGTTACAAATTGTTACACAATTGACTCTTCCATCTATCATACTTTCAAGTTAACCGTTACTTTTTGACAAAGGACCCCAATAGGATCATTTTTTGCTTATAGAGAGGAATGAAAAATGGCTTACACGCCGTCAATCCACTAAAAAAAAAAAGGAATGCGTAACTTGATAGTTTGACGGATGAAGGAGCTAGTAGTGTAATACATATAAACTTTAAAGGATGGTTTTGCCAACTCTTAAAAGACAAGGACCAAAGTGTTAGATGCATCAAAACCCCATAGTATAGTTTGGTTACAATTTGTGTTGACCATATGTGGTGTCGGACACGTCGGACCTGACCTTCCATACGGCTCCCGTGGGCGGTGGGGCTGCATCCTTCAGGCCAAAAGTCACGTGCTCTAAGGACACTTGGTCATCTGGCTGACTGGTGTCCTATTGTCGCTTATATATTGGGAAGAAGTGCTTAATTACTTGCACTCATGATAAAATCAATTTATTATTCATTGTTTCAAGAAAGAAAAAAAAAAAACTCTTTTTCTTTCGGTCCAACTAATTTATTAATTCTCTCATCATCAGAAGAAGTATAAAAGTAGTACGGGGGGTTCCACCACATGAGCCCCATTTGAATTTTGAGTGACATCTTTCTGCTACAACTTACAAGAGTGCTTTTACACTTTCATTATTTTGAGAAAGTGCTTGAAACTCCTAATAATCGAAATTTTAGTAAATAAAACCCTAAACCATGCAAATTGCAATAATTAATATTTAATATTGGGGTTGTTTGTTTTAAGTAGAGGAGTAATGAGTATAGCTGTCTGCCAATTTCTTCCAACTGGTTTTATTTGGGTATATGGTGATGTTGGAAAATCTTCAGCACCAGATAGTAGATACCAATTTCAACTACATCCCAAGAAATGGAGCCAAATTGTACCTCTCATTTGCTGTCAGTCAATACCACCAGTTAGCTTAGCTTTTATAGGTCGTAAGTTTTATGATGCATTTTCTTATAGACGTAACCATGGGTAATATTATTATATTTTCCATGATTAATCACAGCCATGATTAATGGGTCAAAATTTAAAACTTAATTGTAAACGGTTTTATCATCTTAAATGGGAGGCCAACACTAAGTTTTTTTTTTTAAAGTACAAGCGATAGTCTAAATTAGAGGGGAGAGAGTTTCTCACACACACAACACAACTAATGCCATAAGCTAGACCTCGTTGACGACAAACACTAACTTAATTGGGAAATTTTTTGTATAATATCATATATATTTTCCCATGTGTTACACGAAATAGAAATGACTTTATTAACATCTTACAAATTACAATAACGTTTCCTAATGTACAGTTTGCCGCATAACCAACATATATGAGCTATGGTATCAGTATGCCACAATCATAGAGAAAATTAGGCATAATCATAATATAATGCTTCATAAATATGTATTTATTCGGTAAGAACAAATCTATAGGATAAATATTATATGATTGGTCAGCGTTCATGAATAATGAAATGGGGGTCTTGATAAAAATAAAATAAAAGAGTACTTCATAAGTGGAATATCATAACACCAAGTTACATACAATTATCTCAACCAAAAAAAGAAAAGAAAAAGTAGCTAGCTAGCTAGATTTGTACGCCAAAAAGAACAAGGCAAATCCCAAGCTTTAGTACTATTACTACAAAATACCCAATTCATTGAAATATATATTATGTATATACACCTGACCTAATAAATCATCATCATCATCTACTTAGTAAGGGAAACCATCGTTCGTGGAAAGAAGACTGGTAAGAGATCATGATCAAAAGGAACACAAGCACAAGTCCAACACCCCACGGAGACCCTCCTGCCCTATGCAGTGAATCCTTCTCCGGCAACGGCAGCAAAAACGACAAGCCACCCGATAAGCAGTGGACGGCAAGAAGAAGCAGCAGTGGAACAAGCATGAGGAAGAGTTTGACCTGAGTCATCAAATCCTCAAACATTGACTCGTAGTTGATGTACCATGTGAAGCCCAAGATGAAGACGAGGATGGAAATGAAGAAGCAAAGGTGAAGAGGGATGGAGAAGTAGTCCCAGTAAGAATAATAGTTGTAGTCCCTATCCATAGTATCGTAGGGTTTTTGAAATTTGAAAGCTTTTTGTGCGACTGTTTTTTTCTAGAATGAACTTGTTTGATAGTCTTTGAGAAAAAGTTGTGCTGTGAACTTGGTTTATATAGAGAATATCTTTGTTTTTTATTTATTTTAATTTTCGTATTTTTGATTACTTATTCATGTATGCAAACTTGATTTTTTTTCTTTTTTTCTAAAGGGTTTGTGCAACTTTTTCTTTTTCGGCTTTCTTTACTTGCATTATAGGGATTCTTCTTTTTGCTTGCAGATCCATCGGGATAATTCCAAGTGACGGTGAGAATAGTTCATGGTTAAGATTCGTTAATTGAGCTGTCAACCAATGAGGAATTGCCACGTACGACCGACCATGGACAGGAATATGGGCAGATAAGAGGAATAATAATATTGAACAGAAAATTTTTAAAAAAAAGGGCAGGATTTATTTTGTAGTGAAGGCAAAAGTTGCAAAAAGAACAATATTATTGGGAAAGTCGTGCCTAGAATGGTGGTCCAAGTCACCTTTGCATGCTTTATGTATATTTTAAGCTGCTAAAGGAAATTAAATATTGAAAGGGGATATGCATATTTCTGGTTTTTAAGTAACTGCTTGCTTCAATTTGGGTACATGAAATCATCACCACCATCTGCATATGCATTTATGATCTAAATTGGATATGTAGAAGAAAAAAAATTAACCACAGTGATTTTTTCTGAACTTATACCCGAGTTTTATTTTCGTGCTGTCGTATTTTGGTATGCAAAGTGGAGTAGATCAATGTCAATATGACATAAGCATTTGTTATGGCCATGAAAGAAAGTCTAGACTTGTCCAATGCTTAAAAACCACACATGAACAAGCTGCTTAAACTCATTCAGAGCCTCATCCATATATAATGGGGTTTATCTGCTCAAACCTGGGTTATGGCTTTAAAAACAAAAATTGGGAAAGGGTCCCACAGGATACCAAGCAATTTGAAATCATTTGGCACTTGGCACTTGGCAGCATCATGATTAGTGATCAAAGAATTGCTAGCTAACGTGTCCCATTAAGCGTCAAAGTGAATATGTAAATGATTAGATGATTGATTAACCCATCTAATGACTTTTTTGTCTGACTTTTATTGAGTTATCTCTTTTTTTCTTTTTGGGGGTAAATTTTGACCTCATTTGTTGCATTATCTGTTTGGGTTCGAGTTCAATTGCACTCATGCTGATGTGGGTTTGCAAAATGGTAGTGCTTTACGACACTTAATTCAACTGTAAATATTTTCAAAACTAGGATGCTAATAATATTAGTAGGCCACATAATTGGTGCCTCCTGTGGCCCACGCTTTGTATTGGTATATGCGGTTAATTAAAAATCCCACATCGACATAGTAGGGGACATTTGATAAAATTGGAACGATACAGATACAGAGAAGATTAGTCCATCTTCTGATAATTTATTTTAACAAAACCAAGCAAAAAGGTCCAATTTGTAATCTGAGTCCACCTTTTATTTAATTTGATTTATTTCCAAGAAAATACAAGAAGTCATACTATGAACTTCCCAAATCCCATGATCAATAATGCAACACAAAGATATTGTACTCCACCGTAGCATTACCGGTGGTGGTTGCCTCAGCATAACCCCTAGCAAACCTGAAAGCCCCGCTTCCACCAACCACAGGCAGCTCCCTTACCCTTACTTTGTTGAAAATTGAATTTCTTCCTATCAAACTTATGCTGCTGCCATTAAACTTACCTAGGACAAAAGCAAAGTTCTGAACCATCAACAGGCTAAGCTTCTTTCGTGCTGCAGATGCATAAAACCCTTGAGCCCTTCCCACCAATTCTGAGCTCAATTCAGGTCCTATGGTTAGGGCATTACCAAACATTCTCACTAACCCAAAATTTGTGGCAGAAGGGTGAGGCCCATTACGAATGTCATGCCAAAATAAGCGAATGTGGGTGAGCTTTTCATTTTGCAGTCCAAAAAGCTTAGGGTCAATGCTTCCTACAAACCCATGATTTTCCCCAGAGACTGGGATCATGGCAAAGGAAGAGAAGAGGGAGGAAATTATGAGTTGGAAAGCTAGGATAGGAGAAATTCTAGCCATGGTTTTGGCACCTCTAATGTCTTCAAGGCTTTTCAGTAAATGGTATGCTTGTTTTGTAAATGGTCTCCAATATATATAAAAATGAAGTGAAGGGCAATGTTTTTGTTCCACTAAGCTCTCTTTACGACTGATTTGACTTTCTTTCTTCTATGAAATCTACAGTTAAGGGGATAAGGTGAGAGCATTTTTGCTCACCACTTTAACTCAAAGTATATCATCACCATCCATCTCAACATTTGACACGTGTCTATTAACATAACCATAATTGCATAAAGACAAAGTAAAGAGTTAACTATGGTTATGCCAAAGGACACGTGTCAAGTGTTGAGATGAGTGGTGAGATGTATTTTAAATTATCATTGTGTAGTGAGTAATGTCCTTTGTGTATTTTAAATTATCATTGTGTAGTGCGTAATGTCAAACATTTAATATTCTCAAAGAGACTTCCATATCCAATCAAAAACAAAATAATAACTTGTGGTTGCACTGGTTAAGAGCGTTTACTCGTAGACTCAAAGTAGTTTGTTTAATTCCCATTCCCTAGTTATATATAAAAGAAAAGACAGACTTTCATATATTAATAAGGGGTATCTACTGTAGACGTCCCTGAACTTGGCCTCCAGTTGCAATTGGGTCTGTGAATTTTTTTTTTATATAGGCAATTAGGTCCGTTAACTAGATAAATAGCTTAGGGTCAATGCTTCCTACAAACCCATGATTTTCCCCAGAGACTGGGATCATGGCAAAGGAAGAGAAGAGGGAGGAAATTATGAGTTGGAAAGCTAGGATAGGAGAAATTCTAGCCATGGTTTTGGCACCTCTAATGTCTTCAAGGCTTTTCAGTAAATGGTATGCTTGTTTTGTAAATGGTCTCCAATATATATAAAAATGAAGTGAAGGGCAATGTTTTTGTTCCACTAAGCTCTCTTTACGACTGATTTGACTTTCTTTCTTCTATGAAATCTACAGTTAAGGGGATAAGGTGGGAGCATTTTTGCTCACCACTTTAACTCAAAGTGTATCATCACCATCCATCTCAACATTTGACACGTGTCTATTAACATAACCATAATTGCATAAAGACAAAGTAAAGAGTTAACTATGGTTATGCCAAAGGACACGTGTCAAGTGTTGAGATGAGTGGTGAGATGTATTTTAAATTATCATTGTGTAGTGAGTAATGTCCTTTGTGTATTTTAAATTATCATTGTGTAGTGAGTATTTTAAATTATCATTGCGTAGTGAGTAATGTTCTTTGTGTATTTCAAATTATTATTGTGTAGTGAGTAATGTCTGTTGTGTATTTTAAATTATCATTGCGTAGTGAGTAATGTCTATTGTGTATTCTAAATTATCATTGCGTAGTGCGTAATGTCAAACATTTAATATTCCCAAAATCACAGCAAGGACCATAGGAAATCCATAAGTGTAGAAGAAATACCCAGTGGACAAACAACTTCCTCTGTTCTCAGTTTTCCTTTGTAAGCTCTGATTTGAAAACCAAGGGAGAAAACAAGTGGCGCCTTACCCCCATGGAGAGGCTCAGCCGCACAAAGCCTTGGAACCACAAGAAGCCATCGATTCAGGCGCTCTGGTCAATGATTTTGCACAAGAAAGGGAGTAATCGGAGAAAGGGAAAGAAAAAGTAGGAATGGATGATCGACGAAATTAGGATCCCAAACGCCTATAAAACAGAGCTTCTTCTACCCAGCAACACACACCATTCCAGAGCAAGACCAAGCTTTGTCAAGCGAACTGGAATTTTCCCATCTTCTACTCCCAACGCTTCTCTCTGTTCTAAGATAGAAGCCATCCTAATTCTCCCCTCTCCCACTCTAAAACCTGTTTCTCTCCAAGAAATTCATGCTCTGATCTCTCTCTCTCCCCCTCTCTCTCTCTCTCTCTCTCTCTCTCTCAAATTGCTAAACTTGTGAAAGCTCAGCTCCCATGCCATAAGCTCCTCACGCTAAGTCATTAATGAATTTCATGCGTTCTTCTGAGTGTTGGTGAAAAGAACCCAAACGTATTTTTTTGTGTGACCCTATGAATCCTGGTAAATCTCGGCCGCCGCCCTGGTAGTGGGTTTTGCGCTTCTGGCCGTGGGGGCGCATTTATTGTTCTGATAGCTGGTGACCTAATCTCTCAAGCTGTAAGAATCCTTGTGAGAATGTTTGCGTCTAATCACTCTGATTCCTATCACCAAATCCTGATTTCAGTCACTTCCCACCTTCCCTCGTGCATTAAATGCTTATTCGTGGCCAGTGGGTTTGCTGCAATAAACAGAGGCATTACTTCATTAAATGAAGCATGGGACCCTGCTGTCACGTGATGATTTGACTTTAATACCTTTGGCCGTGATTTTATTCGGCCTCGGCCTCGGCCTATAATTGAGGCCGAGATGATCATGCCTTAACAATTTTTCTTTTGTTTTCAGGAAGGCCAAACATCTTGGTGAAACGCCGCGTTTTAGATTTACGAGCAAGTGCTAGGGCCGAGAAAAAAGGGCTCCTTCTGGCCGTGATTTATTAGGCACAAACACAATCAAAAACAAAATAATAATTTGTGGTTGCATTGGTTAAGAGCGTTTACCCCTAAACTCAAAGTAATTTCATAAATAATAATCAGCTCCTGCACCACCTATCCCCAATCCTCACGATCATCACGTTCATCATAGGTCAATGAAAAACCTAGGACTTTGGCCGCACAAATCCCAATTGGCCCCCTTTTCGGTTAGAAACTATGAGAAATTTGGGGAATTTGGAGCCCTAGGAGAGAGAGTGTGGCGAATGTGAGGGGTTTGGTGATCAATCAAAGAGTTGCATGGCCATGAAGACTGGTAGATGCGCAGAGGCAATCAATGGAATCAATGGGCTCATCTCTCTATGTTATGGGTTGCAGGAGAGAGGGAGAGACAGAGAGGGAGAGCTGAGAGAGAGAGGGATTTGGATTTGGATTATTTATTTTCAGTTTTTTCAGTTTTTCTTTTCAATTTTTAAAATTTAAAATATTTTAATTGAAATGGACGGTTTTAGCACTCAAATTAACATCCAAATTGACAGAAGGACTCAATTGGAATGGGTGAGAGAGTTGGATGACCTAATTGCCTAAAAAATAAGTTCACATACCCAATTACAACTAGGGGCCAAGTTTAAAGACGTCTACAGTAGATAACCCTATTAATAAATATATGACATAACTAAGATCCCGTTAAGTAAACTGAATTATATATACATATATCTGTATCTCTCACTCAAAACTTCTAAAGTGTCCAATTCTAAGTCAGAATCTAATGATTTGATATTCCGTTCCAAGAAAGCACAACAATTTCTAGTCATATATATATACTTTATATATGAATCCATTGGTGGTACGTAATGTGTTTTGTCAACTTTCCTGCATAGTCTTCCTAATTTGGTTGTGGCTGCTAGTGCTAATTAGGTTAGCTATTTGAAGAAGAACTGAACCCTCTAGTTCTGTTTGGAAAATCAGAAAATTAAAAAGAAACAGAAATAATCGCTCTTCAGAGCTGTGATATGAGCATCCAACCTAAAAACAATTAGCAATGTCTAAGGAGCCAAGATCTTTTAAACTATTAGGAAAAACTTTAATTTTTCGATTTGGGATCCACACTCTATCACTAAATCAAAGATTAATTGGTGCGGACACACCATTTGTTTATTTGTGGAAGTGCAAGTTGAATTGAGAATTTGAGCTTGAATAAAATTGATAATTTATATATGAATTGAGTCTTCTTCTTAGTTCATTTGAAAAATAGTATTTTTATTAATCAATAATTGTTTCCATAAAATAAACATACCAACAAAGTATCAAAGTCTTAACAGATATTTCCTCTAATGCAATGCTAACGCTAATGCTTTCTAAAGATGCATGAGGCCAAAGATTGTGTGTGCATGAGCTGTGCCTCAAACTCAATGAGAACTGGAAGCAACACCAATATTAGACTACTAATAGCATTTTCACTTATTTGCCATGATAAAAAGCAAGGGGAGGTAAGGGTTGGTACTATTCACATGAATAGTGTTGTTGAGGCCCAAAAATCCAGGGGTTAGGCCCAAGTTTATTGTCAGCCCGGTGCAAATAATTAATTACAAAAGAAACTCGACCGGGGCATAATAGGGAATTGTAGGACACCTACACGAGCCACGGGTCACACATCACGCCAAGCAAGCATGCCAAAAACGCAACGGCTATATAAGTTCACGCTCATGAACCTATCCGGTGTTATTTAATTCGAGGTCGGCTTATTATAGCACAATTAAACTCAAGCACAAGCACAACGAATAAACATGCGATGCCATCACGCCATGCTACAAGCTCAAGTGGGCCCAAGCCACGTAATCACCCGGGGCTTGCTGAGAAGGTTGTGGCATGGATGGGTACGGGCACTCACAGGGCCCATTGAGGGAACGAGGGATGAAAACTTCAGGCTACTTGGGAGCACTAAAACTCAGGCCCATTCCTCGGGCCCAAATACATGGGTTAGCATGAGAGAGAGAAGAATGGGGTCCAAAGCCTTAGGAGAACATCCCATAGGCTGCTGTAGCATTTAGGGAAGTCCATGACAGTTAGAATGCCCAAGAACGAGTAAAACCACTTCCAGCAGCTGGACGAAAGCGTGCGGGCCGCTGGAAGGGAAAACACCAATAACCTCAAAACTGTACTCGAAGCCCAGCTGTTCGGTTCATTTTTACACATGATTTTTCATGTTATTCACCCACTATTTTGAGTTAGTTCTTGACATTTTATAGCTTTTTACTTCCTTTTTGTGTTTTCTTAGATTTTGCCTTGGTTGGGATGAAAATGAGCTAAAAGTGCATTATTAGTTATAAATTCTGTTTTTGT